TTCCTGGATATGTAAGTCAATGCTTTTCATCAAATTCAGAAGTTTTAAGTCATTATTCCTTCAAATATTGTTTTCACTCTTTCCTGTTGAGATTTCCATTATGTTGGTGTTAGTATACTTTTTGGTGTCACACAAGTTTTTGAGGCTTTGGTTTTTTCTTTTTGTTCTTCTTTCTATTCTTCAGACTGGATTATCTCAATTGACATGTTTTAATTTTGCTGATTCCTTTTTCCTACCTGTTAAATCTGCTGTTATATTCCTCTACCGAATTTGTCACTTCAATAATTATAACTTGCAGGGCCTCCCCTGGTGGCGCAGCCATTGTGTGCTGGGCTGCAAGGTTGCCCACAGCCTCTGCAGCTCCGGTTTGTTCCCTGGCCGCAGGCGAGGGTCCCACAAAAAAAAAAAAAAAATTATAACTTTCAATCCCAGAATGTCTACTTGTTTCTTCTTTATGATTTGTCTTTTGTTGATATTCCCAACTTTGTAAATTATTATTATAATTCTTTGAATTATTTACACATAATTTTCTTTACCTATTTGAGCACATCTCTTAAATACTTTGTCTAGTAAGTAAAAAAATCTAGGTTTCCTCAGGGATTGTTTCTTCCCAATCCCACTATGTGTGGACCATACTTTCCAGTTTCCTTGTGTGTCTCATAATTTTCCTGTTGAAAAACTGGATATTTATATAAATTATATAATAAATTACATAATAACTCTATAAATCAGATTTCCCCCACCAACCTCAGAGTTTGTTGTGGTTTCTTTTTATCATTGTTGTAGGTGCTGATACTTTCTCCTCACCTGTTAGTGACTTTCCTGGACTTATTTTGTGAAAGGTATATTCTTTGTCCTGTGCAGTCACTGAAGTTTCTGACAATGAGCTTAATTGAACAGAGATTTCATTAAATACCTTGAACCAATAAGTTTTTCATCTTTTGCGGCAGAGCTCTGTGGGGTGGGGAGGGCAAGACTTCAATGCTCTAGCAGTTTAGAATCCTCTTTTAACCTGTACCTTCTGCTTTTTAGTCAGAGATGAGAAGTTAGAGCCTTCTCAGGTCTTTTCTGGGTATGCACACAGCTCTGCACATGCACTTGGCCTTCTATAGTCCCAGGAATATGTTGGAACTTTTCAAATCCCCCTCTGGATACCTCACTCTCCAGAATTTTCTTTTTAAGTTTTTTTTGGCCAGCTTCTTATTGGCTCTAACTCGCATTGCTGGTCACACAGCTTTGATTTTAAACAATTGTCACCAATTGTTTTTGATAAATACCTCAGGGATAGAGCATTTCTTGGTGACCAAGGCCTGGGTCAGGTCAAATAAGTTAAGCCCTGTGAATGGCGCATTTCCAAAGAGGTGTCAGACAAGTCAGATAGTAATAGTTGTCTATGGATGCAGTTTTTGGGAGTTATAAGTTCATTATGCTCTTTCAGTGGCTATGAGACTGCTGTTATATGTGTTTATGTGTGTGTTGTTTGTTTTTACAACTAGCATGGGTGTGAGGCTGTGGTTTTCAGAATGCTAGAATAGGGATGAGTCATATATGACTAGGGCAAAGTAAAATCCCACAAAGCTTACAGTTCTTATCAAGACTCATCCATTTTATTGTTGCAGACCTTTCATTGATTTCCACAGCTCTGGAAAAGTTGATTTTGACAATCTTTTTTTTAAAGATTTATTTTTAGGGCCTCCCCGGTGGCGCAGCGGTTGAGCGCTGGGTTGCGAAGCTGCCCGCAGCCTCTGCGGCACCGGTTCGATCCCCGGCTGCTCCCCGGCCACCAGAGGAGGGTCCCACATGGCGCGCAGACCTCTCCTGCCGCCCGCTGCTCCCCTCAGCAGTGTACTTCGGTCCTTCTGCCTGTTCTGCTCCCCGCTCTGGCTCTGGTGAATTCTCTCACCCTCCCACGCTTCTGACTGTACCCAGTGCATGTGTAAACGAAACAAAACGAACAAACAAACAAATAAATAAATAAAAAACATGCCTCTATTAAAAAAAAAAAAAAAAAAAGAAATTTAAAAAAAAAAAAGATTTATTTTTATTTACTTATGTATATAAGAACTGGGTGTAAGCCAGAGGTATGAGGAGCAAGAGGATTCACCAGAGACAGAGTGGGGAGCAGAACAGGCTGATTTACTGAAATATACTGCTGAGGGGAGCAGCAGGGAGATAGGAGAGGTCTGCTGTGCCATGTGGGTTAGCTCCCTGGCTGGGGATCAAACTCATGCTGCAGTGGCTGCCAATAGCTTGATAGCTGACACTTGACCCCTGCATCATTAGGGGGGCCCAATTTTGACAATCTTGATGGAACTATTTTCCCCATTTTCATAGCTGGCTTATATAGAGAAAACAATTAAATTTTAAAATTTATCTTATACCCAGCCTTCTCACCCAATTTTATTATTAATGCCATTATATATTTTTAAACAAAATCTTTGGAAAGTTCTAGATAAAAATATCATATCATCAAATAGTTTATTACCAGGTTTCATAACAATTAATTATTTTCCTCGTCTTTCTGCATTTGTCAGACTCTGTAAGTAATGGTGAACAATAATTATGGGAAATTTCCTGTTTTGTGTCTGATTTTTACAGAAAAGGCTTAATGGCTTCCATGTTTAGAATAATTCATTTTGTATTTTGGGGGAATAATTTTATCATATCTAAGATTACTATGTTGAATTGAGCTCTTGGTTCACAAGATTTTGGAGAATTTTTATTATTTATTTATTTGTTTGTTTGTTTATTTATTTATTTATACATACAAGCACTGGGTACAGTCAGAAGCACAGGAGGGTGAGAGAATTCACCAGAGCCAGAGCGGGGAGCCGAGCAGGCAGAATGACGAAGTACACTGCTGAGGGGAGCAGCGGGCGGCCGGAGAGGTCTGCGGGCCATGTGGGATCCTCGCCTGCGGCCAGGGATGGAACTGGCGCTGCAGAGGCTGCGGGCAGCTTCGCAGCCCAGCGCTCAACCGCTGCGCCACCGGGGAGGCCCCCTATGCACATTTTAACAGAAACATCCTGGAGATAAAATTTCTGCTGAGTTGTTTGTGACATTAATGACTCAAGTCAACTGGGAAAATTCTAGGTTTATCAGAAGGAAAGATAATCTTGTTGTCAGACTGGCAGAAGTGATGTTTTGCAATAGGCAGAGCCATTGTTCTTGCACTGCTCCCCTTCTGCACTCCCTAAGTCTTGGTCAATCCACCGAGTTAAGGCCTAAAGATCCCCTCTTGTCACCCATGCTATCCTGTCTCATGAAAAAGGTAACCCCTATTTTCTACCTTCTTGGCTTCTCATCTTGAATCCCTTTTCATTTAGTTCCACTTAAAATTTAAAACAAGACTAGAATTTTTAACCTTGAAATTAACCTAAAAGCATTTAGAATTCCCTGGCCTTACCTCTAACCAACTAGCAGCATCAGACATTGAGACTCAGAATTCAGCTTAGATTCCTAAGATGCTTTTCCTCCAAAGGCTGACTTCACCTTTCACTGGTACCTAGAGGCTGTGGCTAGTTAGTGAATTCTAAGACTGGACTAGCGTCAGAATGGCATTCTTTTCTTGTTATTGTTTTCTGAACAAATATTTATCAAGTATTAGAGATACCATCATTCATTCTCCTCTCCAACTTTTCTTTTCTAGGTCCAAAAAAAAAAAAATGTTCCCTGCCTTCTGAGAAGTGTTAGGGAGAATGTTTCAATCTTTCTTCCTTTCATCTTCTACTTTAGTTTCTTAAAGGAGATAGAGTGATTTGTATAATTGTTATTTTAGAAAAAGAATAATTGCATTTACATGATTAAGTCCCCCTTGACTTTTAATAGAATTGATCCTGTCCACAGATGATAGGCATAATTCTCTTCCACATATGGCAGACTAGTCAGAAGAAACCCTCTTCTCCAGGTGAGCTATGCTTGTATAAATTCTGCCTGGGCGTGGGTGGCTAAGTTCAATTGGGGGAGAAAGAATACTTTTTCCTTGAATCTAAGCTGTATCTGTCAACATAACATTACCATAAAAAGTTGATCTCTTATTCCTGGATTGGTATTTCTATTGTTCAGAATTCAGAGGCAAGAGGAATATGATTCTTATCCTCAAACTCCAAATATTGATATTCATTTTGTGCATTCTATTGCTAGGAGCTATGAGGAAGTCAAAAAATTAATTTTTATGTGGTCCCCGTCCTCAAGAAATTTGTAGTTTTGTAGTGGAGATAATACATTTGCACAAAAAAAAATTCAAGTAAGGATATCATCGTAAAATATTTTGGAGTTACTTTCTGATTTAAGGTTTTGTGTCAGGTGCTGGAAGCACAAAGCTATGGTACAGTTTTGCTCTTAAGAACCATACAGAGAAACTTTCAGAGAAAATGGAACTACACCTAGGCTAATAAGGACAGAAATGGAAGAAGAAATTCCAGGTAGAGGAAATAGCACAAGTATGAGTTCAGAGGCAGGAATCAAGGCAAGCAGGTCATTTTGATAGAACTGGAGAAGTCTTTTAGGAGCTCAATGGAAGATAACTGCACAGGTAGATTATATCTAGATTGTATGATTACTTGATTGCTTCCCTAATCAGAGGCAATGGAACCTAAAGAATAAGTGTCAGTGATCATAGAAAAAAGAATCTTGATAGAGAATAGACTCCTTAACAACAAAAAAAATCCCCAAATAAATACTTTCTCTGTAATCTACTCAACATACAATCACAGAACATCAAAAAACTGACGAGGAACTTCGAGAAATTCTAGGTCAATTTTCTCACTTTAAAAATGAAGAAAGAAGTTCAGAGAAAGAAAACAAATATTCATAGGAACAAGTAGGTGCATAGAAAAGTTTAAATGATGTCAATGTGAGAAATCTAAGCAACAGTAGTGTCTTTGAACAAGAAGGCATGTGACCTCCAGAATTCCAATAGCACAATGGGTAAAAACTCTTTCATGAACACAAATTAAATAATTTCCTGTGAAGCAAGTGAAAAGATTTCTGGTCCTTACTTGTATGGATTCTAGTCTTGTGTGAACCAGAGGGACTGAGTCACAGCAATTAGTAGATCATTGTTAGGTTGTTTTTCATGTTACAGTCATGCCCCTAAATGACTCTTAGGTTAACTTTTCAAACCCCAGCAAGTCTTTAAAAGGTAAGAAACGTCTTTTGTTGGTACTTGTTGGGATGATGGAGCCCAGTGGAAAGGGTTGCCATGATGAGTCTTAGCAGGGAACTCGTCTCCGAGGCCTCACTTGTCAGACTATGAGTTCCAGAGGACAGGCAGGAACAAGATACAGAGGAGAACACCTGTGGGAAACAGAAGTAAACATTACATTAAGAATAATTAAATTAATAAAATGTGTATCCTCTACCCTACTTTCATCACCAAGTGTTTAATGCACTGTGGCCCCACTGCAGCCAGAGGGAGAGTTTTAATGAGTAACAGACTTCCTAAAACTAGATGTCCGGAACCCAACATGGCTGGTGCAAACTGCCAGTCCTTTGAGGTTGGTAAGCTTTTCTGTTGTCAGCCCTTCTTGGAGATGGAAGTTGAGAACGCCTCAGTTTCTGTGCTCTTAGACAAATGTCTTTTTTGCTTTAAAAAACAAATTTATGTATTCACATAACAGACAATTTACCCATTTAAAATTTGAAGTTCAACAGTTTTTGGTATATGTGCTACCATCAGCCACAGTCAATTTTAGAGTAATCTCATTAGCTCAAAAAGAAACTCAATGTAAAATGGTGAAGTCACTATGGAAAATGGTGGTTCCTCAGACATTTAAACATATGACTTAGAAATTCCAAATGTGTATATATACCCAAAAGAATTGATGATAGGGACTGAAACTAATATTTGCATATTCATAACAGCATCATTTACAGCAATCATAGGTGGAAGTAACCTAACTGTCTATCAGTGAATGACTTAGACAAGCAACATATGTACACATTTCATGGAAATTATTCAGTTTTACAAAGAAAAGAAATTTTGATCCATGCTACAACAACATGGTTAAAACTCAAAAACCATGTTGATTAAAATAAGCCAGGTAGAAAATGACAAATAGTGTGATTCCACTGACATGCAGTACCAAGAACTGTCTGCTTCATAGAGACAGGGGTTGGTGATAAGGGAGAGAAGACTAGAGGGTTACTGTTTAGTGGGCAGAGTTTCCGCTGGGAAAGATGACAAAGTTCTGGGATGGATGCAGTGATAGTTGCATAAGAATGTGATTGTAGTTGCTGCCACTTAACTGTGTTCTTAAAGATAGCTAAAATGGAAATTTTGTTATGTGTATTTTACTATGATTTTTTTTCTAAAGAGGGGCATCATCAAGAGGTCCTTTGAAGGAAAGATTGTTTCTGGCCCATGTCCCACACCATGAAAGGTCATGATAGCAGTGGGGAAAGGGCATGGACTGTGGTGGCAGACAGGCTTCTTGTCACCACTTATGAGCCACACAGCCAACACACTCTCCTTGTTCTCTAGCTTGTTTCTTCATCTGGAAATGGGAATAATAAAGCAGCATGGCTCTGATAGTTGTGGACTTTCTTGAAATCTAAAATTCTGTTAGGTAACAGAAGCATATATTCTCCAACAAGTAATAGCATAAAACAAAAAAGAAAAAATGTAAGTACAAAAAAATAAGGGTGCAATCCAATACCCCTTAGCGATCAGCTCTCTAGTTCTCATTCCACTTTCCCTCCAAGCTTCTGTCCTAAGCAACCATCTATCTAATTTCTCTCTATGTAGTTTTCCTTATTCTGGGTTTCATATGAATGGAATAATGAAAGCCTGGTTTTATATGAATGAGCTTCTTGATTGTTCTTTTCTCTCTTTAGGTAAGCTGCCTCTTCCTAGGAGGAGCTGCCTTGACACAATGAGACTCAGGAGTTTGGGCACACCCTGGGCAGGGCTTTTGGGATCATTAGGAATAAAAATTAAGTGAAATTTCTATAATGTAAAAGTGTTTTAATTTTTCTTACTATAAAATCAATATATTTATTTTCTGCAATCTTGCAGAACATAGACTAGCAAAAATCACAAAAGAAAAATAAATTTTGTTCTCACCTCTCAGAAGTAATTACAGTCAACAATGATAAATATTCCTTCAGACTTTTTGCCATGCATATTATACTCACACACATGTATATCATATTAAATTTTTTAAAAGATCTTTTGTTTATAAATGTTATAGATGCTTCTGGTAAGCTGTTGAAACAATATAGAGTTATAAAAATTAGAATGTACTTCATTATCTCTCCATACAAATATGTCACAACTTCAGAATATATCATGATATTTTTTGTTATTTATTCAATCCAATACCCTTTAGCGATCAGCTCTCTAGTTCTCATTCCGCTTTCCCTCCAAACTTCTGTCCTAAGCAACCACCTATCTAATTTTTCTCTATGTAGTTTTCCTTATTCTGGGTTTCCTATGAATGGAATAATGAAAGCCTGGTTTTATATGAATGAGCTTCTCGATTGTTCTTTTCTCTCTTTAGGTAAGCTACCTCTTCCTAGGAGGAGCTGCCTTGACACAATGAGACTCAGAAGTTTTATTCAATCTTCTAATAGTTGCTTAGTAGACCATTATATGTATGCTCCGTTATTTGTCTTAGCATTCTCCATTGATAACATTTGTGTAGTTCCTAATTTTTCACTGAAATGACACAATGATATTTACACTTGTTCTTTCTCCTCGTAGTTCCTAGAAGTATAATTGCTGAACTAAATATATACAAACACATTGTTGTGTAATCTGCTTTTAAAAAATGTATTAATATATAGTGAACCCATTTTGAGGTCATTAAATATTTAATTTTGTTGCCTACTTTTATAATCTATGAATGTATTAAAATTTATTTTCACAAACTCCTAGTACTAGAAATTGAGCTATTTCTAGATTTTCACTATTATAAGCAACTTTTCAATAATGATGTCTTGAGTTAAATCTTTGCACATACACTTAAAGCTATATTCTTAAGGTGAATTCCTAGATATAGATTGCTCACTCAAGGAGCAGGCACATTAAAAATAACAACTTTTATTGTTTTTTTCTTATTACAGAAATAGTACATGGTTACCCTAGATTAGAAAATGTAAATAGGCAAGAAAAATCAAGCATGCATAGTCTCATCACCCAGAGGTAACCGTTGGTAAACGTAGTGGAGATAACCATTAGTAACTATTTTGTTGGTATGCTTTTTTTTTTTATAAGAATGGACATATAAAGTACATGCAGCATTGAACCACTTTCTAATTTATCTCTATTATAATATTTAATATTTGCATAGTACTATAATTTAGGATGCATGAATTTTTTTTTTTGCACAATCATTATTGCTGGGTACTTGGGTTGTTAATGGACATATTTTGAAACTTTTCAGGTGAATGTAGTATATGCAGAGGGAATTATCTCACTGTCAAGAAGCCCTGAACAGGGGGGCCTCCTTGATGGCCTAGGAATTAGTCTCAGCACTATCACTTCATTGGCCTGAGTTTGATACCTGGCCAGGGGACTAACCCACATATGGTGTCTCAACTGCTGCTCCCTTTAGCAGTGTATTTCAGTATCTGCCTGCTCTGCTCTGCACTCTGGGTGAATCCTTTCACCACCAACACCTTCCCCCACCCCCGCTCGACACCTCTAACCTATACTCCAGTTCTTCTACTAAATAAATAGCAAAATTTTTTTTGAAAGGCATCCCTGAACAAAAGGCACCTGCCTCTTTATGGACCTGGGGACTGAAGAGAGGGCGAGAAAGGAAGGTCTAGGAGTGGTAAGATACTGAGTCAAAGAGAAAAGTGCCTTAGCCAAGGCTGCCAATTAGGTGGCCTCTGAATGGCAGCATCTGGATGAGCAATGTAGATATGTGTATGCACAGGCCTGACGGGGGTAGGGAGAAGGAGGACTAAGTCCTTGACTGCAACTCCCTCCAGATTTCAATGCATTGGCAGTGCATCAAGCCTGGTAGGGAAAAATGGCTTCTCCCCATGAAAACTGTCAATCGAAGACTTACAACTGCGTGTGATAGGGTCAGAAATGCTATATCACAGATAGAATTTGGTTGAACTCTTCAATGATGACAAATTGCCAAAAACTTGTCCAGTGTCCCTACTCACCAGTGTCATGCAAGAGTGCCAGCAGCAATGGAAGTTTGTAAGGGGCTCAAAGGGAGGAATGGAATGATTTCTTTTGGGACATATAAACTGACATCTGAGAGCAGGACAAAGAGTTCCAGCATGATTCAGCCACAAGAAATCCTAAGCAGGTTGAGTTTAGGCCTGAGAGGGTCCCCTCCTTTCAGGAGATGAGACTAAGTTACCAGGTATCAATCTGCTGAGCGCTCTACTTTTGGAATGAATTCTAAGCACAGTTTATGTGAATGCTTGGCTCTGCACTTGACTTCAGAAAGTTATGATAAATCTCCTAAAGTTATATTTTTCCTTAAAAAATTTATTTTGGTTTGTCCCCTTTGAACTTCTAATCTCTTTTGGCATTTTCAACTTACACTATCTCATTGAGTAGTGGGTTCTTGCAGTTAATTACTCTCTGTGTCTACCACTTATATTAAATTTCCTGCTTCAAAATTTAAATACTTTGAAATGTAATGGACAGTAAGCATTCTCTGGTTACCTCATCCACATCCTTTATGATCTCATAAACTTGCATCACATCTCCTTTTAGTCTTCATTGTTTTGACCTGGTCTATTCCTGTGCATCCATAAGAGGGATGATTCTAAAGCCCTTTAGCCATCATATGTAGATCTTGAGTTTTATTAAATTATTATTTTTTGTACTACTACTATTGTTATTTTGAGTATCATAGGGAAGCACTATTTGTAAGTTCTCAAACAAGGACACAAAGTTGAATAACTTACGTTCTCTGATGAGCCTACTTTTCTTCCCTTGGCCCGTAGAAGCAGCCCATGGAGTCAGGTCTTTAGAGCAGAGATAGGAAAGGACATACCAGGGGGACAATCCATTTGCTAAGCCACAGGTAGTAAACATAGCTGGAAATTAATTTTCTTTTATTTTCTTATTGAAGTATAATTGACATACAATATTATGTTAGGTTCAAGTGTGTAATACAATGATCAACATTTGCATATACAGTGATCACAATATATCTACTTCCCATCTATTCTTAGCAATTTTTCGTATTTATAATACAGTTTCATCACCTATGTAGCTCATGCTGTACACTATATCTGTATGACTTATTTATTCTATAACTGGAATTTTTTTAGGAAATTAATTTGCTTAACTCTTTCATGGAAGTATACTCAATCTTAGTTTCTAGTAAGGGTGACTGGACCTAGCCCCAAGTATTCAACGTAACATAGTTGAAACAAAACCACTTCACCTGTATACTCTGTCAAGCAGTGTCTTTTAATTAAAAGTTATATGCACATCCCCTTTGATCCTGCAGTTCTACAATTAGGAACTGAGACTACAGATACAGTAACTAATTTATGACAAGTTATAATTGCAAAGGAGGTTATTTGTAATAACAAAAATAACAAGAAAAAATAGCAACAAAAAACTGGACTCTAAATAATGCCATCAATAGGATGGCAGGTAAATCAGTTGTCTCAAACACAGTTAAAAGCAGTAAAAAAAAAAAAAAAAAAAAAAAGGAAGGTAGAACTATGTATGTTGACAAAGAAATAGTTCTAATAACTCTCCTACATTGTTGGTGGGAGTGCAAACTGGTCCAACCACTATGGACAGCTATCTGGAGGTTCCTCAGTCTACTAAAAATGGAGCTACTATATGACCCGGCAATTCCACTACTAGGGATCTACCCAAAGGACACAAAAACATTGATTCAAAAGAACACCTGTTCACCTATGTTTATTGCAGCACTATTTACTATAGGTAAAAGCTGGAAACAACCCAAATGCTCAAAAATAGATGACTGGATCAAGAAGATGTGGCATATATACACAATGGAATATTATTCAGCAATCAAAAAAGATAAACTCATGCCATTCGCAGCAACGTGGATGGAGCTAGAAGGAATTATGCTCAGTGAAATAAGCCAGAAGGAAAAAGAAAAATATCGCAGGGTTTCACTTATAGCAGGAATATAGGGGAGCCAAGTAAGACATTAGTGTAAAACAAATAACAGTACAAAACACAACAAAGCAAAAACGGACAATTATAAATCAGAGACATCCTGCAGGGGAGGAGGAGGGAGAAGGATCAGAGGGAGGGAGGGAGGAGCACAGGGGACTGAGGTGATGGTGCACGGGTGCATTGGTGAAGGAAATTCTGTGGGGACTCAACCTGAGGGGGTGGGGGGAAGCAAATATTTTTTAAAAATGAACAATGATGTAAAAAATTTAAAAAAATTAAAAAATTAAATTTTTAAAAAGCAATAGTTCTAATATATTTTGTTTTAAAAAACAAGGGGCAATACAATGTGTATAAATTAAAAAAAAAAACAACTTGTGTAAATATAAAAAAGCATCTATATATGGAGATATAAATTTAAAATATTCCTGGAAGGATCCACAAGAAACTTGAGTGATCTGTGGAATGAATGACTGGGAGACTGTAATCTTTCATTTTATACGTGTAAGTACTATTTGAATTTGTTACTTATGGCATAGGGTTTTTTTTTCCATGTAAAATGTAAATAAATAGGTTTCACGACAAAATGAATAGTACTGAATTGTGTGGTTAAAGATGGCTGAAATGTTTTTTCTTTTGAAATGTTTTTAGGTATAATTTTCCAAGTAAAAACTAGGTAACCATGTAGAAATTAATTTTAAATAAAAGAAGTGACCTGAGGAGAGTAAGGAGTTGCAGAAAGACAGTGACTGTGTGAGAAAGCTCTGAGGGGGCAGTAAAACAAGTTCACTGCTTCCTCTGATGACTCTCACTGAAGGTTGTTGCACATGCAGCCTTACTGACGCTTTTATGGGGGGTTCAGAAAGGAGCCAGGACATGCATATTTGTCGGTAATAACTTGGGGAGGAGAACCTGGTAATTTTTTATTTCTATTTGAGTTGTGAGTAGACTCTGCACTGTTGTGTGAAATTAAAGAGCAGGAAGATTTATTGGGCAGTGTGACCAGTTTCTACCTGAGTAACCAAGGGTTTGACATGCACAAAGTCCTTGGCAAAACCTGGACTGGATTCTTGGTGAATGAGACACTGCCCTAGACAATGTCTAGGTGTCACGGACACCTAGAATATGAACCAAAAGGACCTTGAGTATGCCCTCCTTTTACTTGAAGGCACTTCTAATATTAAACAATAATTTATATTTTCTTTCTGTTTCCAATCCACTATTATAGTCCAAGGGTTGCAGGTGACTGGAACCTGTTGAGGCAGTTCAGGGTGCAAAACAGATACCAACCCTGGATGGGACATCCCTTCATCAAAAGGGTATACCCTCACTCATTCATATCAGAACAACTGAGACATACCAATGAACCACAATGCATATCTTTAGGGTGTGGGAGAAAACTGTAATACCTGGAAAAAAGCCTAATATAAACTCCACGCACACGTAGTAGTCCAGTCAAGAGTGGATGTTATTTCCTCCTAATTTTATAATGAAACAATATTGAAAGGATGTCTTCAAATGACCTGATATACCAGGCATTTTCTTAAATCAGCATCTAATATGTGCTTCTCATCCTCCTAACTGCCCAATTTTATGAAAGCATGCACTCCTGGAACCTGCATTTCTGAATCTGTTAGGATATGAGATTGTTGCCTAATCTTGTCTTGGCACTTGGTCATAAAGAGATTAGATGCTGGCTACCTGGGGTTAAAGGGCACATATAGGAAAATCACCCCCATCAGGGTAATCAGCACATTAATGAGAACTAGATCTCTCTAGATCTTGACTTGAGAAGAGACTTCTGCTTTATGTCAGATCAACTCCTGGACCTTTGCTCTAAGATGGCATTGTTCTCTCTCAAAGGAGAGAATAATTCACAGCAGTTTGTGAGTTCCTTTCTGGGCCACGGGGTCAGGTGAAATGACAGGCACATTCTTTTCTCTGCCCCATGATCTAACTTCTATCTTTTGGTGTGCATATGTCTATGTTTGCATGGGGTATCTGTATGTAGGATTACTTAAGGATTTGGACTTATCTGAGTGTAAATATTGATTTGATTCAAGTTCCTCTCCATAATAGTACCTTGAAGAGATTGTATTACCCGAGACTTCATAAGGATAACAAAGAATAAATAAGAGTGAATCTTTGTTTTGGGCTAAATTTACAACATATACATACATTATATGGCAATTAAAAAAAATATATCAATCTTCCTCACTGGGACATCCATGAAATGCCTAGTCAAGAGTGAGGAAGCTTGCTGTCCTTTCCTCCTCCTGGATACACCAACTTCTCTATCTACATGAGTCTTGCTGCTGCTTAGTGTCAAGGCTGACAATTTCACTATCAAAAATTCTCACAACTTTTCACAGCTTGATGTCATCTTGTATTACCAGATTTATGTTTTATGAACTGAATGAAGTGGTGTTCTCTCACTTTTCTCCTAATAGGTGTTGCACAAATGCATACAAGGTAGCAATTATTAGAAATGTGACTCCTGTGTGCATTGACTTTATAGTGGCGGGAGGAGTTTTGGTTTGGGAGAAAGTACTGAGAGGAAAGCAGGAACACTATTTTGGAGTCAAAATAAATAAAATAAAAATTAAATAACAGGTAGTACATATGCATACATTCACACCACAATACACTTCATCTTATTAGTGTCATTGTGCCTCTCTGCTGGCATATAATTTACCTACATAGCTATCTGGCTAACATAAATCACAAGAACCTTAGGAAATGCTCTTGTGATAAACTTTATAATGGCCAAAGAAGTAAAATTTTCTTTGGGTATCTAAAAATGGGATAGGTTCGCACCCTGATATGATTCAGCTGTCTTCTTGTGTAAAGTGGTGTGATGTCTTAAACTCTCACTGTGAAATCTTTGTTTCTGTGATCGCTTAGGAGAGAGAAATTCTTATAACAGACCAGTGTTTAAAATGTAATTAAAATTACACCATTGCTTCAGTCATAGGCATCTAATAGTCATCTGATTCATTTTTATCCACCAGTCAATTACACACATGCCTTCCTTTTCATGACATGCTGCCCTCAGCAGAAATGAAAAACTAAGACAGATGCCCATTGACACCTGTCATCCACTACAATTCCAATAAACCTTTGGAAGTGATAGAAAAGGTAGATTTTTAATTGCAGATTCAGGGGTGATATTATTACTCTACTAACTTTAAGTTGCATGTGCATTAGCTTAGGAGGGATTAAGATACCTAGAGATGACTAAAAAGGGTGTGGTGAGTGATGCAAGAACTTACAAACATTTGAGAACTACAAAAATAGAAGTTTTGAGCACAGATAATTGTAGACTCTTGAGGTTAGGGAAAACCGTGAATAACATTATAAAGGTTACACAGAGGTTAAAATTAATGACCAAAAAAAAAAAAAAGCCCTAAAAATATACAACTAGTTCTAAGATAAACTTGATTTCCAAGAAGTTAAACTTATTTCTTATTTAACCTATCTTCATTTAGTTCATCTTTTAAAAGCAAAAGCAACAGAGAATATTTTCTTTTCCATGAGTTTCCATGGCACCATGAATAAGTTTACCTCTTCATTTAAACCTTCTATGTATTTATAGAAGTCTTGCGACTGAGTTTTTAGATTTAGGGGGTAAAATAATCAAATAGTGTCATATACAGATTTAAAAGAATCTGGCACAAACTATGTATAGTACTTACAAAAATGTGAAGTTGAATTGAACTTTTCTTGTTTCCTAGTATGAGAATCTATGTTCATGGACTAACTGCAGTGTCTTCTCCTAGCAGATGCCTGCATTTTCTTATCTTTTCATGATGAATTCAACCTGTTCATAACTGCTGCTTGGGATGTCAGTATGTTTTTATCTATAGTCACAAGAACCAGTGAAAAAGTGTTCCTCACCCATGGAAATGCTATTAAGACCTTCTATGTACTAACCAACTGAATGCTGAGTTTTCCTCATCTCAGCAAATTTGAAATATTAGCTGTTTTGCAAAGAACATGTCTTTCCTACCTACTCTGCTTACTTCAATTAATAACAAACTACACCATTCTTCCAAATTCTGGAATCTAGAAATATGTCAGGTGTTCTAGGGAACTAAAGGACAATAATACATAGTACTGTAATAACAATGTGCTTACTTAAAATAGTACACTACTTTGGGTTAAAATTGTTTGATTTTTGGACTAAACACAAAAGTAACTGATGCTAGCAAGCAAATAAACTCACCAATTTATTACAGCATGTATCGTAAATCTGTTAAGACTGTAGCGTAGAAGAAACTCTAGTAAAAAGGAGCCAGATCTACTTCATCTTTTATCATTTGCATCTAGTACAGAGAATAAATACTAATACATGCTTATCTTATTTATGTACTGAAAAAATTCAAAATACAAATAAGCAAAGATATAGCAAGTAATTAGGCAAATACCAACATTGTAATTTTAGGTTTGTTTTTTTTTTTAGGTAAAAGTTAGACAATTGAAACTCAAATACTGTTGCTTTTGCAGAATACAGAATCATATTCCAACAAAACACTTAAGAAAATAAGGCACAATGTTTGATAAGGCAAAATTCACAGATAGTTAATATAAGATCACATTCTTTTGCATTTCCAGGATGAAGGGGGGAAGAGATAGTACAATTAAAGTAGCTTAAATATTTTAGAGCATTTACCAGTACAAGGTAGTATATATATTTGATGCAATTAAATATATCTTGTCCTGAAAATAAAGTTTAATTGCTGAGTTACATTTATTGTTACCATTAAATTTTAAATGCCTATATACCTATATAGACATTCCTAATGCACAAGATTTTAAAATACAGAAAATAAAGAAATTAGATAATAAAAAGTAATTTGACCATAGTAAAAGCACATATTCAATATTCTTTGTTGATACTTTAAAGTCCCAAACTTTATAAAAAGTTAAAATACTGGTTATTTAAAATAATTCTCCAATTATGTTATTGTTTCTGATGAATAAAAAGTGGGCTCAGAAATGCAACAAATCTCAATTCCAGACACACAGGTCTCCCCATGATTGCTATAAAGTGATTGTTGAGATTAATATTCTTTGTCTAACACATCAATGTCAAGTGAAGTGAAGGAATTTTTCTTAAAACATCAGCTGCAGACAGAATAATTAACCAACCAATGTTTCTGTAGTAACATTTGCTGTAATCATAATGTTAATCTTATCCTTGTTTTTTTGCCTAACTGGAATTTAGAATAAAGTATTTTATCCAATTATATAGGGCCAAGGGAAGAAATTAAGTTCTGAGGAATGCAGAGTTTCTCCACCATGGCTTTCTGGTATGCTGGCATATAAATAACCTTCAAAACTACACAATCTTAAAATTTATTAGATTGAATACTGTGTCAAATAATACATTGAGACTGGTCAACGCTAGGTAAAATCTAGTATAGTAGCACCCAAATCAATGTTACCCTGTGTGTGTTCAATAATGTGTAATGTTTGCAAGTGAATTGTTATTTTTCTGCATTAATTCTTAGCAAATATGGATCAAGGATAGGAAAAAGATGTACTTACATGGGAAAATATTAAAACATACCCCCTACAGTCTAGTTTTACAAAGAAAATAAATGGGAAATAGGCCTTACAGCAATGTTTTTATATTATGCTATTAATATGAAGATGCTTAGGAACTTCTCTGTCATCTTTCACTGGTAAAATATAAATTTCCTTTACAATATAATATAAAAAAGAATATATCTTTTCAGTGATTTTACTTCAGGGGACCCTGATCTTTATGGTTTTGATCCTCTGCGATGGTATGCATGATTGAGGTTTCCTCTCCAGAAGCCCTAAACACCCCTCAAGATAACAGTCTTTGTCTCTCAAGTCAAATGCAAAGGGTCACAACCAACTTATTTAAATAACAGTTCCCCAAACTTTGTGTCTAGAGTGGAGGATTTAAGGCACATATACTCTGAACACAGCTGAAGACACAGCTAAGTTTAAAAAGATCAGGACTATAATGAAAATATAAAATCAGATATTGAGATTAATGTTATGCAAAGGATGGTGCTTAATACAGGTAGCGTAGGTCAAGTTATTTTTCTGTATGAGGAAATCAGAACTTTGCATTACAGATCACATTGCCTATAAAATCTACACAGCCTAACAACCTCATTAAATTCCCAGCACAACAACTTGAAAGCTCATTATTTTGGATTAAATGTGTTGTAATATTTATACTGACTTAATAAAATTGCTACCTTGAATGAGAAGGGGTAATTTAGGTAACAATTAGGTATTTCTAAATAAATGCATTTTAACTAATTTATATACATGTACTATAACTGATAAAGTTTTGTCTAGTGTTATTATTTAGAATAACTATAACAACTATTTAGAATAACTATTTAGCTATTGTATAGCTACTGCTAAAATGCTTTTCAAAGATCAACTTCATTTGTACTAATTATCTGCTTAGTCATTTTTCTTCTTTACATAATGAAACAGTAAACATTAACCACAAATTCGAGGTTAATGAGGTATTACCATCTTCCTTTAGAAAGAACAAAGTTGACTATAAGAAAATCCTATTACTTACTGGCCCTTCATTATGGAGGAATGTGGACAATCTCCCAATAGCAGAAACTGAGTAAATTCAGATGGTTTTGATAGAGGGCCACTTAATTTTAAAACAATTTGCTATCAAAGGGCTTTCTTGGCTCAGGGATGTCCCTGGGTGTCTAGTTTCTTCTCTTTTCCTTGCCCTTTGTTGCTTTAATGATTTCTTTCACTAAATACTCCAGCAGTCTGCTTTTTCCCCCCACTCTTTGTTTAAAGTCAGTATTTAGATGTGTAGCAGAATCTTCTGCAGTATTACACAGCATTCACACGGACTGCCTTTAACTTTAAATTAACACAAATTTTTTCAAATTGGAGGTACAGTTTATAATGCAAGTCTTTACTTTTAAATTCAGCAACAAAATTCCAAATATCAAGAATTTTAAGAATTAGAGATTCCTACGGTATACATTCAGAAGTGAAATATGAAAATGACCCTCAGGTCCACCTTCATTATTCACACACAAGGTAAAATGAGAACCCTGACCCGCTTGCCCTTAGGTTAGCCAGTCCCTGGCACCATGGAAGCAAGCATTATATTCTTCCTAGTTCCTAAAATCCTAGGATTATCTCACACCAATTCACTGTGATGACACTAATAGAAGTGGATTCTAGGAATGTACCTATTTCAATTAAGATATCAGCACTAAAGAATTCCATTATAACACTTAATACTTTTGTTAAGTAGTTTTATCTACAGTTTTAGTCACTAAAATTGTCCAAGTGAAACAATATCAAAAACATGTGACTTAGAAACTGTAGTGGCAGACTATGATTTTAAAAACATAGCTAAATGATTTGGGAGCCAATCATCTGTTTTCTAGATTATCAAGTCCCTTGTATCCTTTGAATTAGTGTCTATGATCACTCATTATGAAAAAAGGGAAGGTAGGGCAAAAAAAACACAGAAAATATTAGAAATTATTAGCAGCTCTTGTAAAAGGTTAGATCAAATGTAAAAAAACAAACAAAAAAAACAAAACAACCAGCTAAACATAAATTACAGTAAAAATCACCAGAGTTGCACACTGATCACAGATTTTCAAAAGTACATACAGAGAACCATAACAAACATTTTGCTAGACACTGAAAGACATTTTGCTCTATAGTGTAGCATATAACTACACTATATAGCAAAGGCTACATAATAGCAAAGGCTACATTGTGGGTTGGACCTATTTACACCTGTAAAAGATAAATCAGTATACCCTTTCTCTGGGGAGCTCGAGAAAAGTGTGCAAGGTTAACTATTATATTTACAAAACTGCCCATTTATTTTACAAAGACTAACTTTTAGCTAAGATTACCTAAGCTGTTACTTAGATCAAGCTGGTCATGAATTAAGAAGTAAACTGAAGCATAAGTCAATTTTTAAGTCATAAAAATTTGTTCCTATCAATTAACTATGAAAACACTACTTATTTCTATGAAAATATTTTATGTATCTAAACTTAGTCACTTATAAAATATTAGGGCCTGCCTAAGTCATCTTTAGCTTTCATAATTTTATAGTATGCATCTCACTGTGGCTCAAATGGAGAAGTAAACAAAGACTTTTTATTATTTCCATAATTACCCAAGAACTACTTTGCTAGGCAGTAAAAACATACAAGATTACTTTTATAAACATAAAAATTTCTCAGTCAAAAGAAAAAAAGAGTCATACTACATTATAACAAGGTGAAGGGATTCACTCCATAGCAGCGTTTCACAACTGCAGTCATGAAACTCTCAGGGTGTTTCATGAATTAACATATAATCAACAAACTCCAAACTATCCTACAGTATATTTTCTTCTAAAATAAAAAATAACATATATGAAAAAAACAAATAAATGTACATGTCACTATTTTACAATGATCAGCTTTCAGAAATGGGATGTGCAGTCATGAATGCTGGGAAGTCAGAAGGGAGTTTATCTGATGGTCCAATGCATTTCTGACTTGTGTATCACTGTGCTAAGTAATACTGACTAACAACCATATGCTACTATAGGTTAAGTATCTAATACTAGTATGTTTTATATTTTCTTTTATAATATCAAGTTATAGATGTACTATCACTCAATTTTTATTGCACATTAGTTAATAAAAATTGGTCATTTCAAATAGCCTTCAATCTGTTAAACATTTTTCTGCTATACTTTAAAAATAAACTTTGCAATTTTTCTGTTTTATCAATACATTATTTTCAAAATGTATTCCATGATTTAACTAGTTTTAAAAGCTGTTCTATTGTGTACAAATACAATGACTGCGGCCCCCAATTTTGAGTGAAAATGATTTTCAATTTTTTCTTCTAAAAGTAGAGAAAATTATAGTTCAGGTCACATAGGCAAAGTCATATTCTACTGTCAAAAATTTTTAAATGATTTTCTCATTTCATTAAAGAAAGATATAAAGAAACTTCCCTAGTTTACATTTCTTTTCTATCACAAGAAGTCTGACATATATTTCTATCAAAATGATTATGATGACAGATTGATGGAGACTGGGGCCTTCCATTAAGTATAAAAGTGAATCCCTGATAGGGGATCGTTTACTCTTTAGAGAATGAGTTAACGGTGGCCAGGAGCTCAGATGTTAACATCCAATTGTTTACCTTGTTCTGTTAAAGCATATTTTAAATTGTCTGCATAGTTTCTTGAATGTATTTCTAAATCTTTGTTAAGATTAAGGCACTAAACAGTTCTTTCTGGATTATGTAAGGGTTAACACCAATCATGTGGAACAAAGGAGGAGAATTGAAGAGTTTTAAAATCCTAGATAAGAGTTCTACCCCTTAATTTATCAATTAGTAGGTCAGAGAGGTTTAGGTCCTACATAACTACCTGTTTATACAAACAGCTCTAGATTTATATATGGGCAATACAAGAAGATGCAGTGTTCCTGTTATGGTGCAGTGTTCCACCCAGACCAAAGGACAACTCTGGTGATAATTACAGCTTTGATCACTGCTGTCTCTATCTCAACTGTCACAGGTTACACCACTCACAATCTATTATAGCACCTTTCTTCAGAATGTTTCATTCTGCTGTGTGATTCATACAAAATGTGAGTGATAACTGCAAACAATAGCCCAATTTGAAACTGCCATTTAGAATGAATTATATGCAAAGAATCCAAACATAGAACTGAACTCATTTCTACTGAATAAGTAAATGAGATACAACTCTTTTATATCATCTCTTTCTCTTTCATGGACATTCAGAAAATGAAGATAAGGTTTCTAGTGAACTTCAAAGTCTATTTTCTTTTCTAATCACCTTTGCTCAGTCTTTTGAGTTATTTCACACCACACTGTACCCTTCTTAACCAAGAAGAACCTTCTGCATTCTGTGGGCAGCAACACTGGCTTCATCCTCTGAGTCAGATTCGCTCTGGGATGTGGAGCTGTGAGAGGCAGAACTGCAGGGGGAAGAGCATTCGGGAGAACACAGGTAGTGCATCAGTGGGAGGCGGTACTTCCCACAGAAGTCCACAAATTTAATTTGTCTGACACAGCAGTCAAAGTAGACTCCTGGAGAAAAGAAGAAATAAGCACATGGTAATCATTAACAAAATAACAAAGCAAAGAGTCATCTATGTTTTTAAATTCTTTTTCCAGCATTCTGAAGAAATGTCAGATAGTCTCTTTCATGAATTTTAGAAGCAGGAGTAGTAGTTGTTCTGGGACCTCCCTGGTGGCGCAAGGGGATAAGACACAACTTATGAAGCTATCTGCAGCCATTGCAGCATGAGTTCGATCACCAGCCAGGGAGCAACCCGCATGGCGCAGCAGACTTCTCCTGACTCACCTGCTGCTCCCCTCAGCAGTGTATTTCAGTAGATCTGCCCGTTCTGTTCCCCACTGGTGTCTCTGGTGAATCCTCTCACCTCCCACACCTCTGGCCTATACCCGAGTTCTTGTATGCAAAAACAAATAAATCTTTTTTTTAAAATGTAGTTGTTCTATAGCTATTTATAGAAATATTGGAAGGTATCAGGGATGGCAATCTGAATGGAAAGAGAAGGCCAACAGACTTATCTTAAAGGCAGCTTGTATTAAAAAGACACAGTTTACTTAGCATGTTTTCTCTCAGTGATGGGGATTGTAAGATACCTAAGTGCCCTTCCTCTATCCCCAAGCTACTGTGTGGTATTACCCACAGTCAGAAATTAAAACACAAAAAACCCAAAAACTTCTTTAAAAATGGTCTTAAAGAAGTAGTTGTTATATAAAACTTGAGGACAACTTTTGGTATTCCTGCTCTTATGTACTGGAAAGGAAAAATTAAAACCACTAACATACCATCTTAAATTCTTCAGGTTTCACTAATGATCTTACTTGATTCTCATATTGAATAACAATATTCTTATATTGTTAGATAGACTGAAACTAGTATTCCGCTCTTTTAATTCTGAATTCCGCGCTCATGAACCATGGACTTCAGCTAAGTAAAAACGCAGCTAAACATGAGGAGAAAGCAGAGGTTGTTGTGCCTCAGAGTGAGTGCTAGGTGCTCCATAAAAAAGATACCACACATCTCTAGCCATGCGGCTGTCATAATGGTTGTAGCAAAACTGGGACATTTAGAACTCTGGATCCCATCATCTTACTGGAGAGAAATCTCAATCTCTACTAATACCTAAGTTTCCTCTGGTACCAAGTCCTCTGTGTGCATCACATAGGGACAAAAATTAAAGAGATTTGGTCCAAGCAAAGGAGAAACAGTATTTTTTTTCCCTGATACTTCTCCATTAACTTCTGAATTATTTGATCCCACAGCATGTATAAATCATAGTCTTCAAAGAGAAACAAGGTATGTTACTGTGAACAAAAGTCTCCAAAAGAGTTCCTGAAAACAGACATGAATAATAAAATAAAGCATTACAGAGTTAGCATGAACCAAAACAAGCACAACACTATCTTGTCCTTTTTTTTTTTTTAAAGATTTATTTATTTTTTTTTTTTTCATGTTTTATTTATTTATTTTGTTTGTTTGTTTGTTTGTTTTGTTTATACATGCACTGGGTACAGTCAGAAGCGCGGGAGGGTGAGAGAATTCACCAGAGCCAGAGCGGGGAGCAGAGCAGGCAGAAGGACCGAAGTACACTGCTGAGGGGAGCAGCGGGCGGCAGGAGAGGTCTGCGCGCCATGTGGGATCCTCCGCCGGTGGCCGGGGAGCAGCCGGGGATCGAACCGGCGCCGCAGAGGCCGCGGGCAGCTTCGCAACCCAGCGCTCAACCGCTGCGCCACCGGGGAGGCCCAAAGATTTATTTATTTTTATACAAGAGCCGGGGTACAGAGCAGAGGCACGGGAGGGTGAGAGGATCCACCAGAGACAGAGCAAGGAGAACAGGCAGAATGACTGAAATACACTGCTGACGGGAGCAGCGGGCGAGACAGCAGAGGTCTGCCGCACCATGTGGGAATCTCCCTGGCCGGCCGGAATCGAACCCACACTGCAGAGGCTGCGGACAGCTTCACAGTGCTGCACTCAACCTGCTGCACCAGTGAGGAGGTCCCCACTATCTTGTCATTTGTTAAGTCCTCAGATTATACAAAAACTAAATATCTCACAAAACATACTGCTTTTGTTTAGAGTTTAGTAACTAATATGTCTGAGGGGGGAAACAATAACAGTTCATTTTATATATTATCTTAAATTTTAAACTAGTAGTTTTAAAGTATTTTTGTTCTTAAGATAAATAACACATCAGTATACTAAATAAACGATTAAGAAAGAAACCATTTAAGAGAGAAAAGTATTCTTGCAGATGTCCATTTCTAGAAAAGGAGAGATTCAATATAATCTATGAAGCCTATAAAGCCTGGAGTGAATGATGTCCCTTGCCACTGTCAAAGTCAACTTAGGAAAGGAGAATCACAGGGAAAAGCTCAGGCACTTCTCACGTGGCTTAGTACAGCAACCTCTGCTTCTGAGAGTAGGTGGTTAGCAAAGGCCCAGTGTTATTGTTTTTTAAAATAACAGCATTTTTTTTTTACTCTATTAATATTCTTTCAGGTATTTACATCATTTTCTGTCTACTTAAATGTCTAATGGTTTTAAGATACAAGGAAGTATTCAAGGAAAATCTCACCTAGCTCTATATATCATTACACAGCATTTCCTTAGCACCTATATTTATTCTACTACAGTAAAAACTTTTCTGCACTCCCATTAAGTTGGATTTAAAAAAAAATTCACTAGGGACCCAAAATAAAATGATCTATAAAATTCCAGGGTACATTTTGAAATTGGTACACATTTAGCCATTCTCATAATCTTGAATTATACTTTTTAAAAGTATCATTTTGTGGGGGGGATACAGGCAGATTAGAGAGGATAAAATGTCTTATTTTCTGGTAAAAGAGTGTTTTGAAAGGATGAGGGAAACAGACTTTCTCTGAATAAAGATAATTAAAGTAACACTTAAATGATAAATTTAAAAATTAGGTAAATAAATTAGAAACAAAGAAATTGAATTAACTTACCTCCACACTTTGGATTTGGGCAATTGCTGGCTAAACTCAAGTATCTAAGAAGATTCCCAGGAAGATCACAGGGAGTATATGAAATATTTCGAATTTTAATGGTCCGTGCAGCTAATTCCAGGAGAGTTGGAGGATCATAGGTTAAATCTCTAACAAAACGAACAACCAGTGGATTTCCTCGCAAACTCAATTCTTCCAAATGAATAAGGTTGAGGATTTCTCGAGGCAGGTATGTCAACAGGTTATTATGAAGACTGAGGGAGCGAAGGGAATGCAACCTAGAACAAATGCAATACAAAAAGTAATAGCAGTAAGCAAGATAATTACCAAGAAAGCTTAAATGAAAAACTTGATTTCCACATAAGAATGAACAATTAAGTAAGATTAAGGTAACCAGAAGTAAAATAAAAAGTTGCTGAAACTAGATCAGAGTACAGCTTTGTAAATATTATGAAGGACTTATGTCCATGGTGTTTTTAGAGAGCTTAGACTATATAGAGAATTCTTAGAATATATAGAGTATTCTTATAATTGACTTCACAAATGCTAGATTTAAAGTTTTTTTTTTAAAATATGTTTTATCTTTCAGATACCTAAAAAAGGAAAGCTTTCAAATGTAGCAGGACTCTAAATCCTTCACAATGTCATCTCATTAGGACAAGCACGGTTCACATCGAATATAAAATCTATGATGCCACAAAAGCAGGGGAACTTCGTGTTAAATTATACTTTTTTTTTTTTTAGATTTATTTATTTGTGCATACAAGAACTTGGGTACAAGCCAGAGGTGCAGGGGGTGAGAGGACCCACCAGAGACAGAGTCGGGAACAGAACAGGCAGATTGACTGAAATATACTGCTGAGGGGAGCAGCAGACAAAACAGGAGAGGTCTGCTGTGCCATGTGGGTAGCTCTCTGGCCAGCCTACAAAACTCGTGCTGCAGAGGCTGCGGACAACTTCACAGTGGTGTGCTTAACCCCTTCACTGTGCTATGCTTAACCAGGGAGGCCCAACATTATTTTTGATTACAGAAAACAGGTCAAACAAATATTTTGAGGAATAAACCAGAACATTTAAAATTAACATTAAAAATAATCCAATTCATAGCAAACCTCAGAGAACTATAATTCTCATGTATTATTTACTCTGAAAACACCTAATTCTTTTCTCATATAAAACATGTGCATGCAGGCAGGACAATAATTCTTAATAATGGATCTATATATATATAAACTACCAGGAAGAACTCACTGTGAAAGCTGAGGAGGCACACTTTGTATTTTGTTGTCACATAACACCAAATAATTTAGAGAAGGCAAATTTGCTAATTCTGGTGGAATTTCTTTGATGAAGTTTCCTCCAAGATATAAACACTCTAAACTGCAAATTTAAATGAACAAAAACAAAAATTAAAAGCTGGACAAGATACTCCAATATCTTCATTATAATGAACACATTTCTATTATATGTTTTACTTAGAATTTGCTATATAGTCCTAGAGAAATAATATAATCTTCAAGGATCTTAAAGGTAAGCAGACATGACAAACCAATGTTACACAGTATTGTAATTAAACATAAAACAAGGGCAAAAGAAAGGATAACATGATTAAAATGCCAAAATAAGGTGACAATCCATAAATGATTTAGAAGTTTAAAAGGTAGAGAAATAAGAAAAGGACACAATAGTTCTGATTTCCCAGGGAAGGGTTTTGATTTCAGCTGGACTATGCTTTCAGCCTAGCAAGATGGGAGAAAATAGGTTACTTCAGGCTGGAGAAGAGGGATTTTTACTGGACAATCAGCACATCTTTTAACACCGAAGAATCCAGAGATCAGACTAGAGAAAGGCAGACTATAGGAACACTGAATTCCGTGCTGATAGGTTTGATTTGTTGCACTCCTAGGCAATGGGACAACCACTAGCCTTTTGCTGAAGATTGGGGAAAATACTGCTAAACTTTACATTTCTTCTTTGTTACTACAACAAACGCATTCTTCAGATATTTACTTATCTAAATATATCATGTATAACTATCTTGATATTAAAGTTCCAGATAATTATCCTGTTTTCTAACCACTTAACATTCTGGACATAGCAGATATCGCCCTACAATGTACCATTATTCTTTGTGGTAATGAATGTAGAAGAGCTCTTTGCAAAAGACTTTTGGAGGGGATGGCAGAATCAATTCTTTCAATATATAAATATAAATAAAATGTATTCACATATATTCTTTTCACTATTATACTACTTTTTCTTTTTCTTTAAAAGATTTTATTTATTTATTTATACAAGCACTGGGTACAGTCAGAAGCGCTGGAGGGTGAGAGAATTCACCAGAGCCAGAGTGGGGAGCAGAGCAGGCAGAAGGACCGAAGTACACTGCAGAGGGGAGCAGCGGGCGGCAGGAGAGGTCTGCGCGCCATGTGGGACCCTCCTCCAGAGGCCGGGGAGCAGCAGGGGATCAAACTCGCGCCCAGCACTCAACTGCTGCGCAACCGGGGCCCACTACTTTTATTTTTCTGCTAACTCAGTAGATACTGTCACTTTGTCAACACTGTCACCACCTGATTAAAATCTTTTTTAAAATAAAAAACAAAAACCAGCTATTCAATGGTGTGAAAAATGGCACCTTTCTGGTACCTCCATCCTCCCCCCTCACCCCCAGCTCCAATTTGCAGTTCCCTAATTATTAATGAAGTTTGCCTCTTTCTGTAAGTTTTTGGCCACTTTGCATCCCTAGGAAACTGCCTGTTTCTATCCTTTTTCTCAATGGTTATGTGACTTTCTGTTATTAATTTGTTGGGCGTGCTACTGCTGTTAAATATATGTTCTGTTTAACCTTATCCCTCTGTGCCACAGAGTTTGGTCTGTTTTTATTCACATTTTATATGTGTACAAAGAAGGTGTATCTATTAGGATTAAGTTTCTTAAAAATTCAAATTTTTATCATCTTTCTCATTATTTTGCTTCCAGATTTCATGGTTAGTCTCCTACCCTGAATAGTTCTGTCAATTTGTCCCCTCTTTCCCTTCAAAATATAGAAGCTACACTGCAGATAGATTCAAGTTCATAACAATTAAAACTTCTTGCTGAATTGTTCCTCAATCCACATGAAGCATTTCTCTTCCATATAATTCATTTTGCCTTCAAATCTATTTCCTTTGATTTTCAATGCCTCTTGGCTTTGTTTTTGTTAGTAATTATTTTATTTAGGACTAGCTCTAGTACTTACTTATGTAAGAACTTGGCCAGTTACTTATTCTTGTTATGTTCCAGTTTCCTCTTCTTGAAAATGGAATAATATTATATGTCATATGAGTACTTAATCAACAAGTATGAACTAGACCATATCATGTGCTAGAGACCATTCCAGGGAAGACAGTGCAATTAAAATAAAGTTCTTGATATTAAGAAGTTTACATTCTAGTGGAGAAATAGACAATCAATAAATGTGTATAGATTATGCCAGAAAGCATTAAGTGCTACAAAGAAAAGAACCAGAGGGTGATAGAAGTGCTAGTCTTGAAAGGGTGGCCAGGAAAGGTTTCTCTCAGGACATGACTGTTATTCAATTGGGTCAACTCTTCCTCAATTAGTAGCTGAGCTAACTGAGTGGAATAAAAGGTAAGAGTTCAGAAGTAGAAAAGGACAAATTATCAATTGCATCTATTTCTTCAGAACTATAAAAACAAAAACAAGCTATACTATCCAAAGAGTTATTATGCCTATTTATTAGAAACTAATCTCATATTCTGATGGGAAAAAATGTATACAGATAACCTCATCGTTCACACTGATAGCCTAATTTGCTCCAGGGAAATGAAATTAATCATAAAAAAAAAGATTTCAGCAACTACTTCTGTTATACTTCAAAACTGATTTTTTTGAAACCATTTTTTAAAGATTTTGCTGCAACAGAAAAGTATCAGGGGCTAATTAGATCAAAAGACACAGAGAAGGATCAGCAAGTTACAGAAAACAAACATGAAGACATCCTGCTACATCCAGTGAGTCAATCATGCCAATTTAAACTAAGTATCTGATATTTTACCTGGAATGATGAAAGGTATGGTCATTTATATGGACCATATTTTTTGCATTATTTCTAAATATACCTGCTCTGCTGTTAAAGAGGGCAGGTGTTTCCTCATTGTCCAAACACACCTGACCTGGTTTTAAAAGAAACATGGAAGAGTATACAATACATATCAGGGTTACCAACCAGGTCTAGGGAGTCCACATATATTCAAAGAGAATATGGTGTTCTTGGGCAGATACCTAATGGTTTAAGTGACTGAACTTCCACCTCTACATTTTTGAAGTTTTAATACATTATTTTAGAACTAAGCAGTAAGTAGCCTTTGAGGACTGACCTACACAAATCTCATTGTCTGGGCCTCAAGTCAGTTGCTGACACTAAATCTCAGTTTCTTCATCTGTAAAAAGGAAAATTAGATCATTGCTGAGTTTCTACTTCTAAGAGTGTATTTCTATACATCCCTTTGGCCCACACTCAACCAGAGTTTATATGTGGAGCACAGTCTAAACTTTTACTGAGTCTTCAGTAAAGAGAAATGAAACATACAACTGAAAAATGAAAACAGTGACATAAAAGAAAGCACATACTATCGGAGTCAAGAGTACAATGACCAACAACATAGTCATATTCCCAGAAACTTAGGTTATTCAAGAGAACAGTTTTTTAACCAAACTTCTGCATCACATATGCAACAAAGTAGGAGTCAAAAGAATTAGGTTCTAGCTCTACTCTTGTCACTGGAAAAATCATGGATTTGGACTCAGAGATGCAGAAATCAAATCCAGTCCCACCACTCACTGATTTTGTGATCTTATGACTTAACCTTTCAGAGGTTTCTTTCTCTCATCTCACAATGTTCCTGTGAGAATGAAAGCGTACAACAGGGCCACTGCATTGTAAATGAGATTTTTGCCCACCTTTTCTTCCATGTGATGGAAATAAAACTTGCTCTGGGTTTTTCTAGTATATTATGAAAATTCAAGAGAGAAGGTTGGAATTATGTAACATCAAAATTAAATTGAATTAACCCTGTCGAATTTAAATTTAAGTCTCTCCCCAAACCTTCTATTTCTTACTATCTCTCCTAGTGTCACACTGTATAAGCTACCATCATTTCTCATTTTACTAAAATAGCCTCTTAACCAGTCCTCAAAAACTCATCTCTCCACTGCCTCACATTTCTCCACTCCCTCCCTATTCCATTCCTCACAGTAACAGGAGGGATATGCTCAAAACTCTCTCATGTATACTTAGACTGAAACTCAAAACTATAACACAGCCTTCAAGATCTGACATGACCTGGGATCTGGTCCAAATTTGTATTTGCTATTTTTCCTGTCATTTCCTTCCTATGCTCTAATGTAATAATTTCTTTCAAAAATTGTGATCTGTAGTTCTTGCCTCTTTCACAAGCTTTGTCCCTTCTACTTGGGTGTTCCACTCCACTCTCTTCTAGTTAATTCCTACTCTTCCTTCGAAAGCTCAATCCAAATGTTATTTGCTCAAAGACTAAGTCAAGAACCTCTGTTATTTCATTTCAAGGCACTCTGTATGTCACTGAACGTATAACAATTGTTGTTAAATAATGAGGTTTACACTTAAGTGTTTAAGATCTCTTCTGTTAATCTGTTAACTTCATGTTGGCAAGATATGTTTACCAGTGTATCTCTAGCACCTAGGACAGTGCCTGACACTTGGCAGGTAAATACAGGGACATCTTGTCCAAATATCTCATTTACAGATTGGAAAGCTACAGTCAAGATCTGTTAAGTGACTTGCCTAAATAAGGTTGGGAAATCAGGGATTTCCATTCTCTGGCTAATGTTCTTTTCAATACACTTAACTCCGAGATCATGTCCAACTCTAACATTCCGTTATCTAAGAAAATTCAATAAAAGATGTGTAAATATTTTATAAATGTAAGACATTTTTTTCACTCTGGACAATACATTTGCTCTGTTTTATTTCTCACTTCCCTGAAGGGCACCTTGAAGGCAATTTTGCTACTCTTTAGAGAGTTGATTCTTATCAGTAATAAATGGAGTATAAGACTGAAAAATGTTTCTCTGCTTTCTCCTTCCATTTAATTCAACATACATTTGCTAAATAATACAGTACGCCAGACAAAGCTATACACAAAAAATAATAATCAATAAGGATTATGCAATGGCAAAATGATGTACAGAGAAAGAACTGTTTAGGCAACAAGTGCTGTCCAAGAAGCAGTAAAAGAAAGCTCAATAGAAGACAGTTAAGGTAGTAATTGCTAGCCAGGAAGCAGTAAAGAAAGGAAATAGCAAAGACCCTTGTGACTGGTTCTGAGGGAATAGGAGTATGCCAAGAGCAGGCAACATTTCAAGCAATTACAGAGGCAATGCTTCCATTCAAAACCTATTTAGTGAGTGTCTATAAAGTGCTAGCAAACTGCAACGCTCACTGAATTTCACATATAATATTGTTGGTACTATTACCGAGAAGAAGGTGAAGAAAAAGTAGAAAGCAAAGGTCAGATCAGAGAACCTTGTATGTAGTGCTGAATGTCATAAACTTTGATTACAGGCGTGGAACATCACCAAAGGCTTCTGAGCAAGGACCTGACACTCTCGGATTTACACGCGTCTTACTGCGTACCTGCTCCGTATGGCCCACTCCCCCAGACCCAGAAACTGTCTAGGAAATCTGCGCAGGGGGAAACACAACATACCAAGTACTGTCACGCACACACCATCTTTCAGATCTGCAAACCCAATGTAACTCCTCGAGATGGCAGAGCAGTAATCACTGCCACAGCATTTCAGCCAGAGTCTGCAGGCAGTTACGCGACCACTGAGCAGCGCCTCAACCAGGCTCCCGGACACCGCCAGGCCTCCCTACTCTCAGGCAGCGCCCCACTCACCTCCGCAAGTTCTCGATCTCCGCTGGGATGCTCTGCAGCTGGTTGCCGCCCAGGCTGAGGGTCTGCAGCGCGCGCAGCTCCAGCAGCGAGGAGGGCACCTCCTGGAAGCAGTTCCCACTGAGGTTGAGCACCTGGAGGCTGCGGCACAGCGGCGACTGGGCCAGGCCTTTGGGCAGAGCGCCGGGCCCGCCGAGCCGGTTGTTCTTGGCCAGCAGCGTGCGCAGGCCGCGAAGCCCCAGCAGCTCCGGCCCCAGCGCGGTCAGCGCATTGCCGCTCACGTCCAGCAACTGCAGATGCGGGAAGCCGCTGCCCAGCGCCCGCGGTAGCGACACGAGACGGTTGTGAGGCAGCAGCAACCGCAGCAGCGCCTCGCGCGCGCCGCGCCGCTCCTCGCCCCGCGCCTCCAGCTCCGTCTCCAGCGTCTCGGGGGCCACACTGAGGCGGGACAAGTTCAGTTCGGCCTCCCCCACCGGGGCCACCGCCGCTCCGGCCTCCTCCATCCCGGCCGCCGCAGGGCGCGCGGCCCTAGAGACCGCAGAGCGCCGCGGGAGAGCCACAGGCCCGAGGCTCCGCGGCGCCCCGGAACCTGAAGCGCAGGCGGCGTCGGAAGTGGGGCGGGCCCTGACCCCGCGCGTCCCCGCGAAGTCTCAGGACGCGAGAGTCTGCGTGGCGCGCGCGCCGTCAGGGCCCAGCCCCGCCCCTCGTGGCGCGTGGCGCGGAAGGGCGGCTCGGGGCGGGGGCGCGCGCCCGGAGGCCGATGGCCTCTGAACCCGATGCCCTCTGAACCCGATGCCCTCTGAACCCGGCGGGGTTTTAGATACTCTGGAGTCTGATGACCTGTGCGCTGGGTCCGGGTCCACGGTGATGAGCCGTCCTGAGACTGGTTGTTTGACCTTGAGAGTTCAGGCGTCGCGGCGCCCCGCGCTCTTCGTACAGTTTGGGAGCGGGGCGCCTGGTCTGTGGGCTTCAGTGAGAACACGGGAATTTGGTGTTTCAGTTCTCCGACGCCCCAGGAATTTAAGGTCCGGGGATTAATCAAGCCGACTCTCAAGTGTGAGGACAGCTGGACCAGAAATCAGAACCCCTGATCCTATCTCGGATTCTTTCGTTAAATAGCTTAGTGTCCTCGGACAGGAGATTGACTTCAGTTTCTGCATTCCTAAAATATAATTCTTGCCTTAGTCATCCAGCAGGATTGCTTTTGTTTCTAAAACATGATGGCAGTTAATGTATATCAAGTAGGGACTTTTGACCATTTTAGCTAGAGAAGCACTGATTTTTGGTTTAAATTAGCCTGGGTAGAAATGAATTAGGGAGCCATGAAGGAGGTTCGTTAACTTGAAATAATTCAAATTAATAGGTGAGATTAAAAACTCAAAGGATTGAGATTTAACTGTAGGTTGAAACTAAAGTTTAAGTGGGAAAGTCCTCTAGCTTTAAGTTATTAATTAATATAACTTCTTAATTTCTTCCTTGTCCTAAATGCACTTGTTTCTGAAGTTTTTATGATTATGAAAAGTCATAAGCAGAAATGAGGAAAGATTTAGCTTTTTAAATTTTTTACAAAATTTACGATTAAAAATTAAGATTGTGTATAATTAATGACATTAAATTACTTTCCTACTGGAAAGAGTAAAGTAATTTTTCACTTCGTGTGAGTGATTTTATGCCCTGCCAAACTTAATTTCTGGTTAAGTTATAGTTGTGGAGAGATACACTTTGTCAGAGTAAACCAAGGATAGAATGTTTTTTAGACAGATGGAGTGTCCTGCTTTAGAAACATGTTTTGAAGGGGTTCTTTTAAAAATTAGGCCTTGTTTTGGATCAAGATTACATTCTGGCAGGGATCCTATTATGTTAACACACAAATATTTAAAATAATGCAGTTTTATGCTATAAAAATGTGTGTCTGGACTCAGCAGTGACCCCAGTGCGGATCCCACTCCGCTTGCTCTCTTGCCTTGCTTCACTTTCTCTGTAACAAGTTTGACAAACCCAATATGACTGAGATTGAGAAATCTGCTAAGTCGAAATTGAAGAAGACAGAAAGGCACTGCCTTCAAAAGAAATGATTGAACAGGAGAAGCCAGCAAGTGAATGGTAATGAGGCCTGGGCCAATATGCACTATGCATTGTGCAAGTATTGCCTTCTTTCTTTTAGCTGTTGGACTTTGTAAGATGCAAGAGGTTGGAACAAGTTTGAATAACTGTGCTGCCCCTCTTCAAATCAAACAATCAAGAACTACTGACAGTGAAGTCGTTTCTGCCCCTCCTATCTGCCTGTCAGGGAAAGAACTGGCACGTTGAAGGAATAAGCTCGATGGGAGGAGAGTGAAATCTAAAGTAAAGGCCTAGCTGGTCCAAGGTATCTTGCAGGCTATAAAATGAGTTTAATCACTGTGCTGTTTTTTGGTTCAAATGATTTTAACTACTGGAATGCACAATTTTTAATTTTGATAAAATGGGCTTTAAAACCTGAAAAGAGGGCCTTCCTGGTGGCACAAGGGGTTAAAGATGCAACCTATGAAGCTATTTGCAGCCACTGCAGCAGGAGATCTATCCCCCACTAGGAAGCTACCCATATGGCAGAGCAGACCATTCCTGACTTACCCGCTGCTCCCCTCAGCAGTATATTTCAGTCAGTCTACCTGTTCTGTTTCCCATTCTGTCTCTGGGAATCCTCTCACTCCCCCACACCTCTGGCCTGTACCCCAGTTCTTGTACACATTAATAAATAAATCTTTAAAAAAAAACCTGAAAAGATAGCTAAATAAAACTGTGTGTCTGTAATAAAAAAATACAGTGACCGGAATGTAATGGAAATAAGAAAGTACTTGAATGTGATTGCAAAATAGAGGTAAGATTACAAATCAATGAAAATATGGAGGGAAAGGTGAAAATAGCTTCAGTAATAAAGAATAAAGCTACCTGGTAGAAAGAAATGTTTATACTAATATGTGAATCCTCTTATTGTTCATTGTTACATACTCTTTCAGAAAATCTCAGCTACCACTGTGTTATCTTTCTTCCTTGCAGCCAGAGGGGTTTAAATTAAGCCTCATCCCCCAGCGCTATAGTGGGCCTTGAAACTATTCTGTTAGCCTGGATGATTCTGAAAATGCTCTGGAAGGTGAAGCTTTGGTGACTTGTGGACCTTTGTATTGATGGGGTCTGTCCTGTGACAAGCTGAAGGAGATGCCAGTGAAGCACATGAGAAAGTGTGATGGGAAAAGGAAAAATAATGCATTATGTAGGAAAACGGGATATGGCTTACAGGGAATTGTGAAAATACTTGGTTTTTTGGTCCAATTATCAAAAGCTATAAAAAACCAAGCCACTTGGGTCAAATCTATGTTTCAGGATAAATCTTCTAACTAGTATTTTCTCCAACTATCCTGTGTAGGTTCCCTGAAGGTGGGACCTGTGTCTGTTTACCATGGCATCCCCCTGAGACATAGGCACTCAATAAACAATGAGTGAATGAAATAAATGCATAAGATTTGCCATGCCTGACTTAGATAGCCTCTATTTTCCAATTGACTGTAGTGGACAATCCTTTCATAAACCATACCAGCTGGAAGGCAATGTACTGATGTAGTTAAAACAGACTTTGACTTTTTTTTTTAATCATTAGATACAGGTTTCAAATCTCAACTCCAGAGATTAGATTTCTCTTACTGAACCTGGATTTTGTTTCTCTTTAAGCCTTGATTTCATCATCTGATTAGAAAAAATACTCTCTTAAGGTCATTATAAGGATTAAATCTAAAGCATTTTGCAAAGTACCTCATACAAAATAAGTACTCCATAACCATTTCAGTTATAATTAGCAATAATAGTAGATACTGTTGTAACTATTACTCTCTAACACTTGTTAAATCAGATCAAGGTAAAGAGAAACAAAGTTGAGAACAGTGTTTATTCATAATGGCATAATTTCCTGCATACACTGTGATTTTCTCTTCTGGTCATGCGTGTTTGGGGCATTAGAATTTGAGAGATTGGCCTGAAGTCTCCTTGCCCTGGAATCTTGACTCCCAAGGTTTATGCTCACTGTCCTGTTTCCTAGTTTTCAAGTCATCGTGGCTCCTGAAAGGGGCTCCTACCTCCAATCCAGCCACTTCTGATTGAGTTAGCCTTTCTAAAGCATTGCTTTCATTATTTCCATCCATCTTTCACCCAACAACTCCCCCAAACTCCCCCCCTCATCATTAGTTATCAGAGAAAGTTTATTGTTTAGCCTTGCATAAGGATTTTGGATTATTTCCTCTGCTGAATTCCCTCTATTAATTATTGATTATACAGTAGGACTGGAGTGTTATAAAGCTCCGCCAGCTTTTTACCTACTATAGGAAGCAACAAGTTACTACCTCTGTTTAAGGGTGACAAGAAGGGAGCTACAGTCTTTCAATCCATCATGAGGTGGAGTCAACTATTTACAGGGGCATAGAGTGAGTCTGCAGCCACTTTTGTCGATTAATGTCTACAATTTGGTTATCATTGGCATGTGCCCTCTCTACCTCAGTTTATTCTATAACTCTATAGAGTTGATAGATTAAGATGCTTTCCTCAACATCTTCCCCCAAACTAACTTCCTCTATTAAAGTTAGGACTTTATTCTGAAGATTCAAATCAGATTTGGCGTTTTTGAATCTGAGCGTCTTTGGTGAAACATTTGTAAGAGCTATGGAAGCATCCCTATGACTCCTTCCATTGAATTAATTCCATTAAGGGTTTTTTTTAATCAAAGCAGGCAATGTATTTTTCTTGGTGATTGTTTTGGGAATTTGAAAGGCTGTGTATCTTTTTAATTGAATCCACTTGTTTAGTTTATAATTGTGTTATTTTACATTTCATATGTAGTTAGTCATAGTCACAGTAACCATAAACATAACAATTTTAGTCCCTAATTTATTCATCCCCAAATAATTGTTGAGCACCTCTTGTTTGTAAGAGACTGAACTATACATTGGCACTCTGTCGTGATTACTAAGAATATGGCTAAAATTTACTGTTTTCTAAGTGCCAGGCACTGGCCTAGGGACTTTGTAGCCATTATTTTAATTCTCATACTCATTCTATAAGGTAGGTACTATCACCTCCATTTTATAGAAAGAAAATGGAGTTTGGTAAAATTAAGTAACTTTCCAGTCCCACAGTTATGATGGAACTAGATACCAAAATATTGGAAAAAGAGTCCATAGCTTGTGATTTTGTCCAAATGCAATCTCTGCCTTCAAGAGACTTACAGTACAGAAACAGATTAAATATGAACCCACAAAAGCAAATAATCCAATTAATAAATGAACAAAAGATCTGTTATCCCTTTCTATAGAGAGGGTATACAAATAACCAATAAGTACATGGAAAGATGCTCAATATCATTTGCAAGTGCAAGTCAAAACCACGAAGATACCACTCACACCAAAAGCTAGGTAATGAGGGCCTCCCCGGTTGTGCAGCGGTTGAGCGCTGGCTTGCGAAATTGCCCGCAGCCTCTGCGGCGCCGGTTCGATCCCCGGCTGCTCCCCGGCCACCGGAGGAGGGTCCCACATGGCGCGCAGACCTCTCCTGCCGCCCGCTGCTCC